AAAAATTGGGCGGCGGTCGGTTCGGGCAAGAAAATCCGTTGGGTTCAAAATTCGGGTAGAATTCGGGCTAACAGTAAAAAAATTCGGGCAACGGGCAAAATTTGGGGTAACAGTCAAAAAAATTCGGGCAAAGTTTGGGCAAAAATCAGGCAAATTCGGGTTACGCCGGAAAATTTTTTAAAAAAATCTGGCGGGCGGCAAGGTCGACTTTTACACCGGCGGTGGGCAGCCAGAATTGATTTTTTTCAAGCTGCCCGTGCCCGACCAAATATCTCGGATGGACGGCGAATGGCACCTGCCCGCCGTCCCCGAAAATTTTTGGGCACCAGGCATGCCCGCCGCCCGAAGTTGCACCACTACCCTCACCTAAAAATATTTAGGAAGTAAGATATTTCTATGAGTCTGATCTTAATTCCCACCTCAAATCTAGAAGAAGTATTAATGGGATGTTTATTTTAAGGGTTCGTCTATGATTCTGAATCATGATTATTGGTTCTCTACGGTGTTTTTCTCTCATAAAAAATTTGAATTTCAAAAATTAGAATCATGAATCATGATTTTGAATCTATGAACCAAACGTTCAATAAGTTCCTTTTTCTTGAAGAAAGAGGAGCAGCAACTTTAAAAAAAAAAAAAAAAAAAAACTAAATATGCCCTAACTTTAGTTTTAGTTATTTTTTTGGTAGAAACTTCAATTTATTTATTTCCTCCATACAAGCTGAGGTTTTTTTTTTTTTTTTTTTTTTTTTTTTTTTTTTTTTTTTTTGAAGTGCAGTTATATATTATCATTATTATTTCTAATTTATTTAATAAAACAGGAGAATCGAATATTAATTCCATTGGAATTTAATTGTTGATAGTAGCAAATATTTTTTCCCAAAGAAAATAATAGTAAACATCTAAAACAAAAAAGTCCTGTGATCTTGCAAAGAAAATGGTTGTAACAAGTAAAAATAAGGTATATGTATTAAGTTTCTGACGTGTTCGCATTAAGCATGTTATGGAATTGAATGAGAGATGAGCAGATGGGTGATACTTTACTTGTATATATACATCAAGAAAGACACATTTATTAACATCGATAATAATTAAGTTATGACCTAATATTTTAAGGCATGAAACTCAGCTGGAAGTATAGACTTCATAATTATTAACTTTTATTAGGAGTCATAATAATTAATTTTTCATCAAAATGTTTATGGTAGTTCATAGCCTCCTAACAAAAGTTTCTTGCGCTGTAGTCTTGTGACTTGTCATTGTATATATTATATACCTATATAACTATCAACTAAGTATTCGTGTAGAAATTCTTCATAAAAAAAAAATGATATTACATGCGATAGTAGCATCCTACTCATGACGAGGCCAAATCAATTTAACAGTTCTCATCTTAGCAAAGAGCTTCAATCGCCTCAGTATCCTCCACTCATTGAATTTTCTGTGGTTATAATTAAGTAGTAATTAAGCCGGGATTCAATACTAACTATATAGTCGTTTTGTCATACAACGACGTTAAGGATTAACCTTTGATACATTTTGAATGACAATTCAAATTTTTTACTATTAAAAATTTAAAATTCAGCACAATTTTTTTATTCAAACTTATGAAAAAAAACACCCGTAAATCTATTTGCTATTATATTTAGCTGATTTTCATTTCATGATGATGGAAATAATTAGTCTATCTTTTTTTTAAGACTTTTTTGGGTAGACTAGCTTACTGATAGGATTAATTTTTGACTATTAAATCTGATCAAAATCACATTAAATTAAAAAATTATACAAAAAAGATAATGTCTAATATAAATTTAACGATTAAAAAAATAAAGAACTATCAGTAATTTATGCTATGTTTGGTTAGAGGATTCAAACTATGATTTGAATTATGATTCATGGTTCACTATAGTATTTTCTTTCATAAAAAATACACATAAATAAAAAATAATTCTAATCACATAATTTTAATTCATGAATTAAACATCTCCTTAATTTTTTTAGTCATACGAGAAAAATTCCCTTATTTTTTTTTCTTGCCACTTTAGTGTGACCTACGTATACACGTGTCATATTGTATTATTGTATGTAAAATTAGTAAGAGATATGATCATGGCAGAGTCGCTTTCGATCAAGCTGCGCGTGCTTCTGCAGGACTGACCACACTGACCCATCTTCAGTCCAAGTTTCCATCAATGGCTTAGACAAAATGGCGATTCTCTTGAAAGCCATTTATGATCGTCTTCTATTGATGACTTTAATTAATTAATATATCCCTGTTGACTACTGAAAATAACCTTCGACATATCACACTCACAGATATGCTAAAGCATGATAACTAATCAGATGGTGGCAGATAAAAAAGCTCTATACAGCTACGATAATAGAATATTAACCTTTTAATGTATACTTAACACTTTTCATGATATTTAATTTGGAGGTCAGTTCTATTGGCCCTAATGCAGTCAAGGTTTATTGATCGACGTTTATTGTCTTTCATGTAGTAGTGATTGCACCAAAAATCAACAAATGCATTCTTCGGCCTCTTGAAAAAAAACATTTTAACAAATCTTGATTTTTTGAGGAAAAAATTGAACAATAAATCAGAGAAAAAAAAAGTCATCCAACGAACTTAAAGTTTGATACATGTATGAAGAGTTTTAAAATAAGAAAATTTTAGATTTTTCTCATATATATGTTGCTTCTTTAATATGTTTTGTGCTTAATTTTGTTTTTGTTTTTCTTTCTTTCTTAGGCTTTTTATGATTTTATTTTGTAAGACATTTTATTTTCTTTTCTTTTAATAAATTTTCACTAATTCCAAAACAAAAACTACACGTATTGATTTCATGGTCTATAAAAATAAATAAATAAATGGTAATGTCTTGTTTTAGGTTATGTGTTAATTGCCTAGTGTTTTGTTGCCTACTTAATAGTTCTATATTGCAAGAAGAATTTTCGTTTCGATTTGGAATTGGATTGTATGATTCTTTTGACTCGATCGAGTACTGTTTTCTATTTTTGTGATTGGATTTTTTTGTTCTCAATTCAAGTGTCGTCCAAAGTATTATATATATATATATATATATTGGTTTTGGTTTGTCTTTTTACCAAGTTTCGTTATTAAATTGACTAAATAAACAAGAAACTTAAAATAATAAAGAGAGACAGGAGAAATGGTAATACGGTTCGATAATTATCTATTATGTGAGGTCACGTTCAAACGTTTGAACAATCCACTAAGCAAATAAGGTTATAACTCAAATGAACTTATTCAACTCTAGACTCATTCTCTAAATACGACACCTATAAACTTGTAACTACCCAATGGACTTACTCATCGAGCTCTCCTTAACTTAACGTTGAAATCCCTTCAACTCTTAATTTTCTCGAGAAAACTTAAATTTCTTCTCCCAAATAAATAAGAATACAAGTGTTTACCAAATGATTTGACTTTTTAAAATTCTGAGATTCTCAAGGTGTGCTAAGACCTTTGTGAAACTCCAATTGAATAGCCAAACATGCCAACTATAAGAAACTTTAATGCAGTCCATGACTCACAGTCAGTCTGTGCAGACTTTGTTGCAACAAATGCTGCAACAGAGCGGTAAAATCCGAGCCAAAGTCAACATTCTGCAGAATACGAATATCTCCTCCATAAAATGCACTATATTTCTTACAGATCACTTCATGAACCTGGACAGAATAATACCTCAAAGCATAAACGACTTTCCCAATTAAATTTCAAGTTTCCAACAATGCACATAAGTTGATATTTTCCAAATCAATCAAATACAACTAATTTGACACAGTTTCCCAATCATGTTTGCTGCATAATCTGAGTTTCCTTATTGCTTTCAATCAGCCACAAAGTTTCCAAAACAGACTCTCAATTAAATCATTAATAGGAATCCGAAATCCTCATATCAAGCAAAAGGAAAACAATCCACAATTCTCCAAAAGGAAACCTGCAGCAAAACTCAAAACAAAACATTCCCCAAATAATGTCTTTGTTGTCAATCATCCCTCAATCCGATCATCATCAAATCTCGCCCAAAGTAATGCCAACATAAAAAATGAATCAAAGCCGAATGAGGCAAATATCAAGGCTAAAATCCCAACAATATATATTATATATATGTAGGTGGCTATATGTATTTATACACACCCTTCTCTTGCAGCATAGAACTTCTATACGCACATTTCCCGATATCTTTTATAGTTTTTAGAAAGAACCTCTTTAATATAATTTTCTAAAACAAGCTGATCACAATTTTAAGGAAAAAAGAATAAATCTGTTTGAGTGAAGTAATAACGCTTTAAATACTGTAATGCTTAAAAACAAAAGGCAAAAGATGATCAACTTGCGCTCTGCACTTCATCACCAACCATATTAAAATATGATATGTTAAATTAAAAATATAAAAAGAAGCAAAGAAAATGATGGATTTTTTGTTTCTTTTTCCTTTATCGGTGAAAATGGCATGTGAATGCGTGGATATGAAAGTGCCCAGATGAAAAAAGTAACTAGTATTTTGAAAAAGTGAAAAAAGAAATATTCAATCTCTATTTTTATTGTATATTTTTTTCCATCATTGAGCAAGAGTAATTATTGTCTTCACATGACTACATCGAGTTCTCATGAGAATCACACTGGGACAATTATGGGATCCCTTCTCCTTTACACGTATGCAAAAATATTTAATCTTGTGATCTACCAGCATAAATGAACCATATATATACACGTGTATACATATATGCACTAGTTGTAACCTAGTATATGAACACATGAAGATCAAACGGTATAAGCATATTTTATTAATGCAAATTATGAATCTTTATCATAATAAACAGCATACTAATATTACAAAAAATTTAATTAGATAATTTATTCCTCGCTACAAACTTTCCCTAGATTCATAAACATGCAGCAGTCAAAGATTAGAGGCATGGCACAAATACCCAAAAACAATTAAATTATAATAGTCGATTAATAATTAGATATTGTTAATTCACAACATAGTAACTAATTGGGGTACCCTTACATAATCTAAAACTTCCCACATTTAAAGGAAAAACAGAATGTTTATATATAGGAAACTATTTTCTCATTTTCCTTCTGTTTTGCCTATTTACACTAATTATAATGAGATCTAGATAATTAGAATACGTTAATTAGAAGTAATCAACATGATGTGGGATTTGATAAGGTTCTTCCCTCTCTTTCTTGCTCAACTTGGGCATGTAATTAGGACCTCTTCTAATAACATTATTCTTGATTTTCAAATGATCTCTTGGCACTTCCGGAGGCTTAACTGACCTAATCAAAGCCCAATTCACACCTTTAAAAAACTCATGTCGTTTGATTTCCACCGAACCCTTTAAACTTCCAATCCTTTTCTTTGGATTCTTCAACAAAAGCTTGCTAATTAGGTCTTGAACTTTGACCATTTCTTCATACTCTTTGGCACTAGTGACACCAATTCTAGGGAAAGTCAACGGCTGTTTGAGAATGTTGACTAAAGTCTTCTCATTGTTTTCTCCCTTGAAAGGAGTCCTACCGTAGAGCATCTCGTAGAGGAACACTCCCAATGTCCACCAATCCACCGCGCTTCCATGCCCTTGCGCTGATATCACCTCTGGGGCCAAATATTCGTGTGTCCCCACAAAGGATTTCGACATTGCGTTGATGGGTTCGGCCACTAATTCTGGACCGTCCATTTGTATTACTTGCTTATGATCATGATTATGGTCATGATCGTGATGATGATCATGGTGGGCTTGTTCTGTAATGGTCCTAATCACCTTTGGTTTCTTTTTAATCCATCTTGCGGCCAAGAAGCAGGAGAGGACGGGCTGCATGGGAGCGGCGCAAGATGGTGTCACGCATTTGATGATCATCTTGTTGTCGTTTGCCGTTTCTTTGATGTCGTATTGGCGTCTGACGAGCTTCGGAACGACGTCGCATTTAAGAGAGAGGTCGAAATCCGAGAGCATGATGTGGCCGTCCTCTCTGACGAGAACATTCTCAGGCTTCAAGTCTCTGTAAACTATGCCCATCATGTGGAGATACTCTAGGGCTAATATTGTCTCTGCAGCGTAAAACCTGTCATAATTAATTAAATAATTAGTCTCTTTTGCATAAAGTAAATCAAAGCAACAGATTCAATTAACGTTACTAAACAAAAACCTAAAGTACATATTACAGCCTTTGAGACTAATAAATTAAGCTAGTTAGTGGGAAAATACTATGTACTAGGTAGTTTTTTTTTTCTTTTTTCTTTTATTTTGAGAAAAATAGTATTAGTTGCTTATGCCTTTGTATGTATATAACATTTATACTATATGTGGGTACATGCTAAAAAAAAAGCACTTGTAATATATACAATTTTCAAACTAGGATTATGTCATTTTTAACTTGTTTCAATCAAAGAACTTTCTACTGTAGGACAATGATTTGTGTTTCTGTTCGTTAGATTTATCGAAATTTGAGAAACCTAAACAAGATTTTAGTACGTTTTTAGAGTATGATGCTTATTAATTAAAGAAAAATTTAACGTAATTAAAAGTTTTTTTCCGGGCAAGATATTCTTTTAGCACCTTAGAAAGATTTTTTTTTTCTTTTTTACCCTACTACTAAATATCTCCAAAATTTGCATGTACTAACTTTAAAAAGGGTGGTTAAAAAAAATAAATACATGCCTCTGTGTCAATTTGTTTGATTCAAATATAATTCTGACTTCACTTCACGTACATCAGATTTTAGAAATAAACAAGACACAATATACCATATTATAATTAAATATAAAGTAATATCATTAATGACAAATAATAATAATAAACTTACTTAGCAGATGAAATGCTAAAGCGTTTCCCAGGCTGGCGTTGCCTAGCAGAGTACAAGTCCCCACCGGGGCAAAACTCCATAACCAAGCAAGAGTAATGAGAAGCCTCAAACTCAGCATACAAAGTTGGCAAAAAAGGGTGATCAAGCATCCCAAGAATCTCCTTCTCCATCTCAGCCCTCTGCAACTTCTTCCTGATGGCCAGCGCTTCCCGGTCGACGACTTTCATGGCGTAGAAGCACTGCGGGAGCCCCACGACCGGGTTTCTAATTTGGCAGAGGTAGACGTTGCCGAGATCTCCGCTTCCGAGGCGGCGGAGGAGGCGGAAGTGGTCAAGCCCGACACGGCCGCCTCTCGAGCAACGGAGGCGTTGCATCGCCTCGTAGGCGGCTTGGTTGGCCTTGTGGGGCTTGTGGGAGGTGAAGGTAGTCGAGGAGGAGACGTCGGTGACTGCGGACGAGACTGAGCTTCGGCGGTGGCTGCCGAAGCTGAGGTTGCTCATCCAGCTCCGGCTCGAGTCGGGGACGGTTATGGAGGAGCAGCTGCTGTCGTAGTCCGAGTCATGATCTAGTTTTGATGTTAGGTTGTTCGCCATTAATGTTAATGTTTGTGGTTGCCAAAGAAAAAGAAGAAGAGGAAGAAGGAGAAGTTATTGCATGTGTGTGTGTGTTTAAGGAGGGTTTCTTTTGATGTTGTTTTCAGCCTTTTTATATAGAGGTTTTGTGGGTTACATAGTGACTCGGTATCGTTGTTGTTGCTGTTGTTGTTGTTGTTGTTGTTGTTGTTGTTGTTGTCAGCCTTTTTATATAGAGGTTTTGTGGGTTACATAGTGACTCGGTATCGTTGTTGTTGCTGTTGTTGTTGTTGTTGTTGTTGTTGTTGTTGTTGTTGTTGTTGTTGTTGTTGTTGTTGTTGTTGTTGTTGTTGTTGTTGTTGTTGTTGTTGTTGTTGTTGTTGTTGTTGTTGTTGTTGTTGTTGTTGTTGTTGTTGTTGTTGTTGTTGTTGTTGTTGTTGTTGTTGTTGTTGTTGTTGTTGTTGTTGTTGTTGTTGTTGTTGTTGTTGTTGTTGTTGTTGTTGTTGTTGTTGTTGTTGTTATTATTATTACTACTACAACTTTTGTTTTTGAAAAGAAGGTTACAAATTCGCGCTTTTGTCTATGGACACTAAATAGAAAAAAAGAAGAATACTATAGTATTATTAATCCTTTTTTTTTTTACTAATCATGAATTGTAGTTATCTAAATTTATGTAATTAGAATACACACCATGATCATATACACCATGATGACATATGAATGAGTAGTTTAGTAAAGAGCAATAATTTGATCATGCTGCTTGATATATATTACTGCTCGATGAAAGTAACAATTAGGTATTATGGTTATTGTTCATTTAGTAAACTATTATTGTTATTTTTTGTTCTTTTAACTATTTACAGCCATATATATATATATATATATATATACGTGGCAAAGTTATTCAAAATGGGTATATAATCTTTAAAACTCTTATTAATGATCATCGTTATTAAAATAAAAACAAACATTGTTGTTTTAGTCTTAGTAATCATTACTGATTTTTAAATTAAACGGGAAAAACCATCATGTAAAATTATGTGAATCCTCTTATAATAGTTGGTATGCGCCAAAATCAACATATAAATAATTTGGAATTTTTTTTTTGAAATGTAAATAATTGTTATTATTAAAATACCATATAATTGCTTTATTCTTTTTTCTAATAAAAAAGGAGATTGTAAGTTGTTTGGTTGGGGAATTCGTATCCCGATTCGAATCATGGTTCATGGTTCGTTACAGTGTTTTCTCTCACAAAAAATACACATAAATAAAAAATAGTTATAATCTCACGATTCTAATCCATGAACCAAACGTCTAAACCTATTATTTGCTCGTTCATAATCCAGGTTTTACCGGTCCGCCACTGGTCCCTTCACCCACCACCGTAGATGAGTATTTGCCACTTTTAAAGTTGGGACTCTTTTTGTGAGTACGTGAGAATTCGAACCCGGATTGTAAATGAGGAAGACTTAAAGCAAACGTTCTTGCTACCATGCCACCACTGGTTAGAATTGCTGAATTATAATATTAACTTGACAAAGTTAATTGAGCCCAAGTTCTTATGGGACTAGGATGAAGGGAAGTACCAAAGTAGCATTTAAAAGCACCATGTTTTATGGGATTATGATATGTAACACTGCCCCTGCTTTGACAGAATATCACAGCATTGCCATTGCAAAGTTTGCAACTACATTTTCTGAGGGATCACGTGTAGCTAAGCGCAAAATGTTAAAAAAAAAAAAAAAAAAAAAAAAAAAAGCTACAATGGTTTTGGCGGTTTCACTATTTTATATTACAAAAGATTAAACATTAAATTAAGGTAGAAAGTGCAGATCGTCATGAAGATCTTTCTTGGTGATCTATCTTGTGGAATTACAGCAGTAATAGCAGTACTAGTACTACTACTTAATCAACAAAGCGAAATCAGCCAAACAAAAGACTGTCAGCACATAAAGATAGAGAGAGAGAGAGAGAGAGAGCTTTTGTTTTGATATATATTTTTTGGGTTCTCGGCATGCTTATATAAGCTGACAAAGCCACTACTCTTTGTTTTCTAAAGTAACTTTTCCAAAAATGGATATGTTCATCCTCAGCAGCTCATTTAAATTATAACTTAACGAGGGAAAAAAAAAAGATTCATTGTAACTTGAGATTCTTTATTTACCTTATCCTTTAAGAAAAATTTTAAGATTCTACCCTTTTGTCAACTTCTAGTTGTAAAAATTTGCATGATACATAGTAATGTCTTAGTAAACGCCTTAACTTTTCTCCACCAAATTTAATTTACTGGGATATTTGGCTTTTATTTTATTTATTTTAAGCTTATTAAAGTTTGGTGACACTTTTTCGACTAGCGTTTCATTTGAATTTACTTAGAGTTGGTAGTTTATTAGGGTCATGGTTCTCTCGTAGTGGCTGTGTAAGTATATTTGTATTTCTTTGATTTGAATTATGGTATCCCCTTTCACCAAATAGGAAAAAAAAAAAGAATAATAAAAAGATTGATTTATGTTTCAAATTAAATTTGTACTTTCTCTCTTCATCAAAATGGTTATTTCGACAACTTAAACTTTAAGAGAATTTACTAATTGTGAGTTAGGTATAATAAGTTGATGAGCGAGTTAATAATAAGTTTTAAATGATGAAGTCAGTCATCAAAGTGGTTAGTTTGAAGAATTATAAATTTAAATCCGCGAAGTGAACGAAACTTTGATTTATAATTAAACGTAGTGTGTGTACATATATAGATTTTTTTTTCTAAGCTTAAAATGCAAGCTCTATAAAACCATAAATAATTCAATTTTATTAAAGTGATCATTTGATCACAACTCACAGGGAAAATTAAAAATTTGATAAACCTCTTTACTTAGTGCATATATTAACAAAAAGTGTTGGCGTGTTTGTTAATCACAGTCAGAAAGTGAGTCTTTTCTAAAGCTGACGGTCAAAAAAGCCTTTCCTCTTTTCTGTTAAAAGCTAACACTGCACCGCTTTTCAAGAATGCCCAAGCCAAAGTGAAAGCATGCAACAAAAAGCCACACAAAAACCCCAAACGACATGTCGTAGCATCAAGAAAACGGTGTAACTTGCAAAGTAACAACCGGTCAAAGGTATGGACAGCCCCAGACCCTCATAAAGGCTTCTCCTTTAGAATGGTAGTTATTAATGTTAAAAAATTTAAAAAGGGGAGTTTTTGGTATTTTAAAAATTAAAAGTAAACCCATTTTGGAGGTGTTAGAAAGGAAAAGTGGATGCATGGAACACCCGTGCCTCAAATTCAAATCCACCTCATTCATAGGTACAATATTGTGGGAGTAATATATATATATATATATATATATATATATATATCCCTTTATATCTTCTGGTCTTAGTATCTTTATGATATTCTTGTCATGCATGTGATCTCCCATTTAGCCAAGGGGGACCTGTATTGGGTCCATTCCCTTTCCCTTTACACATGCCATTGCTTGTAGTTTATAGAAATTAAATTTATTTGACAAAAAAAAAAAAAAAAAAAAACAGCTAAGATTGTGAGGCATTAACATAGAATCATTTTTTCACTTTCATTTTTTCTCCAAAACTTGTTATTAATTATCTTAATCTTTGTCCCATCATTTGGGACTAGTTAGTGGATTAGAAGTGGTATATATTTATCTTGTAGCATCACATGACACTTTTTGATTGCCGTTTTTGGTGATGAATAGATTTTTTTTTTTTTTTTTTTTTCTGTAGAGACTTATAACCCATAATTTTTGCTAAAAGAAATATGTGTAGGATCAAGACAATTAATAGTGCTTTCCCAGCCAGATAACAATTAGGCAGGAAAACAACATGACTTAAGGTTGTATATTATTCAAATTTAACTTGATTATTGCTCGACTATCCAAGCCTAATTGTTGCCCATCATAATAAGTATAATTTTCCACCCTTTTTTTTTTTTTTTTTTACCTTTTGTTCGTCTAAAATAATTCACAGTTAAAAAGCAATTATAGTAGATTTTATTTTTTATTTTTTATTTTTTTGTCACTTTGCTCCCCAGTTGCAGTCTAATATAAATCCGTCTATTTCGCCGATATTCCGTGCATGTCCTTAGCTTACGTTCTATCATGTTTTTATTTTTCAGGCAATAACCTTATCCTGCAATTTGAAAAGGCTTTCTTCCATTTTCCATGGAAAAACGACTGTAAAAGTTGTAACACTGCAAGAAAATTGATATTTTGTGAAGGGTTTCTGCGTCTACATAATTGCGACCAGTACTATTTGGTGACAAAAGTATTCTGTGACCAACAATGAGCCATCGAGGACCTTCTTCTTTTTTTTTTTTCCTGTCATAGAAGGTTGAAATTCTTGTATCTATAGACAAATGCAATGTCCTGTTTCAGGTTGTTCATGAATATGAAAAATTGACGCATATTTCTAGAGACTCACTAGCATAGCACAGCAAATGAAGTTGAAGTGGAGGAAAAATGTTACAATGTTTTACTTTATGAACTTCATTCACATATATATGTATATATATAAGTACATATATATATATATATGTTCACTGTTTCTCTTAATTTGGTCATGTGGTCTTTTTTACCTCACCCTGTAGTAAACTAAGCATATTTGTACTCTGAATCATTTCAGAATGTCATTGAATTATATGCAAAATCTCCCATCAATCCCTTCATATAAAGGCATCAGATTTTCCCAACTTTTAGCATCAGATCAGACAACCAAGATCACTCAATCAGTCTGGTTTGCACTCTTCAGGTTACACACCCCCATTCCATCATGCTGATACTGTGGGACCCCTATGCCTTTTTTTCCCTTTTTATTTATTTATTTAGTTATTTCTTAATCAAAGAATTCCAAAAAATGAACTTATTTTCAAGCGGGAAAACTGAGAGATGGGTTTTGATTGGAGTGAACATTTAGGAGGATCACACCAAATCTTGTCCCCCATTAGAAGGGAAATTTCAACTTCACGACAAAAGAACACTTCAAATTTTTTCCTTTGTAAGTATGATATACAAACAAACATTGTTTTGTGTTTATTTTTCTCTTCTTGTATTTTTCCCTTTCTTTTCTTTCCTCCACTTTTCTCT